AGCAAGATTTCAGAAAGTCAGTCTTAGACATCCAAAGTCTCAATAAACACGCACATCAAATCCTTATTATGCTAGTTTGAAATTTTAAAATGAACAAATACTAAAAGTGAGTCCCTCAATATTTTATTATATTTTTATTTCCAATTTCACAAAGCATTTTACTTTGTTTTCTTTTCTTTTTTTTTTCAAAAGCCTAGTTTTTATTTTTATTTTAGTTAACTAAGCTGCTTCATGTTAGTTTTTAGTTTAGTTTGAGTTAGCTCAAATAACCTTGATTTAGCCTTCAAATATAAAACAACCCAATGATGTATACAAATTTTATGTGGAAATACATACATTCTGCAACCCTCTAATAAAAATTGATTAGATTTAATAAAGGCTCTTTATTGCTAATTCAGACATCTTGGATTTTTGTACTGAGTCACTGTTTTTTGTTGTTTGTTTGCTGTCAACAAGCACGGTGTTCCACAAGGCTCTAGGTTGAATCCTCTGTTATTTTTTTAATGCACATTCTTTCACAAGGCCACATTATCAGGACTTTTAAAATCTTTTTAGAATGATTTTATGATATACTATTACGACTTTTCTTGTTTGTTTGTTTTTAAAGGAAAAAATTTTAAAAAATAAGATGTTCAGTTTTTAAATTACTAACCTTTCCTGTCGACTTGATACCCTTCCAAACACAAAAGTAGCAGATAATCCAGCTGAGGATGAGACAAAGGACCAGTTCCCATCGCAAGCCCCCAACTTCCTCAATACCACCAGAGACCTTTAAAACCCGACGCCTGGTCAAATGAAGGGAGCAGTGATGTGGGTGAGAGGGAGACCGGGAGACCACAAATGAATGGCAGGTGAAAGGGAAGGACATGTGGAAATTGGGAGGGAGGAAAACTGAGTGCTAGATTGGATGACTGACGGATGGCAAAAAAAAGTGTGGGAGGAAGTGGAGAGTTAAAAGAAAACATCTGAAAATGATCATAAAGAAAGGAGGAGAGAGGGAACGAGACAAGTAAGGGAGGGGAGTGAAAAGGGGGGGGGGGCATTCTGTTTAACTTGTGTGAGTTGACTATATGCTTACTGCCAAAACTCCACAACAGGAAGAGTAGTGTTCAGTCTGGACGTCATACTCAGATTCAGATGGCTTAAGTCCAAGCATGAGTCTGGTATAGGGAAATAAAACATCAGCAAAGTAAAAATGCCCATTTACAGTGTCAAAGGTGTTGCCTTCAAATTATATTTCATATATTCTATATTCAAAACTATTACAGCACACAACAAGCAATGCATACAATAGTCACTGCTTTTTAGAATATACCAGTACTGTAGTACCTGTGTTCCAGTAGTGTCCACATGTGGCCCAAGGTAAATCCCCACTGAAAGACTGGAACAGGTAAAAGAACGCCCATGCCAGGATTATAATATAAGATGTTGCACTGAATGCGATGATTAAGTGACTGGCATAGCCCATGCCTAAAATGAACAAACAAATAAATAAAATTGGTAATGGCCAACTATTGAAACTGTTCTGTTCTTGCACAGCACCTAAAGTCTGAGAGCTAAAAGGTGCGCAAAGGAAACACCGCAGACATAAGCTATATACAAGTGCAATGTCAGTCGAAACACTGTGTAAACACTTTCTCTTTGCAGAGGTCTAATTATATAAATAAGGTCGTTGTGCGATGAAGCAGGAATATAAATGGAATGTAACCAACATATTTATGAAATGCATTCATGTGGTTCTTACACTTAACAATCATGCGTGTAGTAATATTTTACATGAGCATAAATAATTTATCATTCTTCCTCTTCCAGTAGCAGTGATTACTTTCCTACTGGAAGTGTAAACAACTTCCTCTCTGGCACCTTGCCTCAACACTGTTTGTTGTTGGACCGAGACCATTTTTGGACACGGAGGCGGTCTCAGCAGTGTTTCTAGGGGAATAATCGAACACGCATAAAAAAATAGACTAGGATACAAGCCCGTTGACAAATAAGGACTCACTGAATATATATAAATTATGACTGACATTTCGGAGAAAAATTTGGGGGAGTTTATTTTAATTACCTTGAAAGAGCGGACAAATCCTTCTCCAGCAAGTAATTCCCCCCTGGCTAGTGTACTGTCCCAAGGCAGTCTCAAGGAAAAAGAGGGGGATCCCGCACGTGAATATGAACAAGATGTATGGGATGAAAAACACACCTGTAAGAAAGGCGGAATTTTTCGTTCTAACGCACGGAGGAAAAAAATACTGGTGGACAAAATGTGCTTGACGACTAAGAGCGTTTCTTTCACCCACCTCCTCCGTTTCTGTAGCACAGGTAGGGGAACCTCCACACATTCCCGGGTCCAATGATCGCACCCATCACAGTCAATATGTACTCGGCTTTGGTTCCCCAGTGCCCCCTTCCTTCCACCTCTTCAGCCTTCTCTGGGTGACTGTTTGGCACACAAGCTGTGAAGGTGCCATTCTTGCCGTTTGTGGTCATCTGGTCCCCCATTTAAATGGTTTACTTGGTGCCAGATTTCCTTTGTTTCTGTGTAAAGTTCCCCGCGCACTGGACTAAAACTCACACGGGGTTGATCACACGAATATGAAGCTAAAGATGCCACTGATGTGGCAGCGGCACTGATACGCTGGCCCTGTTACTGTGACTTGTGTTGGCTGAGAGGGGTACTCGCCTACTTAAGCTGCAGAGAAATGTGTGTTTTCTGGGGTGCAGGGGGGAAAGAGTGATGAAAGAAGCTTGTGATGGGGTCTACTGCTCCGCCTTAATTCATCCGACACCGACAGCAAAACAAAGCCTGGGGTACTGAACATTTCAACACATTATTCATCCTCCTAAGAATAAAGAAAAAAAGAATCTTCTCAATTAAACCTTTTCTTTTGTTATTTCCTTCCTCTTTGGAGATAAAAGACACAAAATCAGATACCAATGGAAATCCCGTGATTTCCTCTATTTAGTATGTATGGACTTATAGGGTAGCTCAAATAAGTCGAAAGATAAAGACAAAAAACAAATGTCCATTACAGAGGATATAAATGAATAGACTGGTTCTCAGGAGGTTATTTATTTATTTATTATTTTATATAGCCTCATATATCTTAACTCATAGTACGGTAAACAAATAAATGCAGAAAAAACAACAGGTTTTTAGCTTTACTTGGATCTCGAACTCAGAGAAGACATTTAAAACTGTTTTGACCAAAAAAAAAAATGTCAAAAATTGATTCAGACAGCTGAAGAGTCTAGCAACATTTATCATATTAATTTAGTTTAGCATTAAATGTCTTGTTTTTCTGTATAAGAAAATCGACGTCCAGCCAATAGTTCCTAACGGACCTAAGAATTGTGCATAACAACAGGCAATTACGCACAATTCTTAGATCGACCTTTAGGTGGCACTATTTATAACATTAACATTTTTCGTACCACACAGCTCTCTTTAAGACAAAAAAGTCCAAATGTCACACTGAGAATAATATGCATTTAATTTTCTGCTTATTTTTATTGGTTTGACTAATAAATAAAGTAATGTAAAGATATAGACATGCCCTTGAACTTTAACAAGCATCTTCACATTATTTATTTATTGTAGAGAAAATAAGCAACTACTCCTGTTTACTCCTGCAAACAGAAGAAAAGCTCTAAATCAATAAGCCTCAGAACTTTGCCTCCTTAAAATTAATTCACTGTTTAAGGCAGGGCAGAATTATTTGTTATGCATTATAATTATTTATCATGAATTGTCATGTGTTGGCAGTTTCTGATCGAGATAAGTTGTCTTACTCTTTAAACTGCGCTAATACTCAATACCAAGGATCTGAAAATGATACAAAGGCAGAAAGATGACACTGAAGCACCCCAACTGTGAACTTTTGCAAAATGTCAGTTCATTTAATTCAGTTTTATTTATATAGTGACAAGTAAAACCAGCTGTCACCTCAACTGTTACCTTTTTATATAATAGGTTAAAGATCCCAATATGTTAGAGAGAAACCCTAAATATCAGTCAATACAGATGTTGAAGCACTTGGTGACAGTGGGAAGGAAAAACTCCCTTTTAACAGGAAGAAATCAAGAAGCAGATTCAGGGAGGGGTAGCCATTTGGCACGCTGGGTTGGGGATGAGGGGGGAAAGAACAGAGCAGAGGGAGACTGGAGAAAGGACAAACTATAAAAAAAGAGTTAAAAAATATTCACTAAGTGAAAAACAGATGAACGAAGAAGAAACTCTAAGCCCCCAGCAGTCTAAGTCTACGACAGCATAACTTAGGGACGATTCAGTGTCACTGGATCCAGCCCTAACTATAAGCTTTATCAAAAAGGAAAGTTTTAAGCCTTATCTTAAAAGTAAAGGAGGCGTCTGTGTCCTGAATCCAAACTGCAAGCTGATTTCACCGAAGACGGGCCTGAAAGCTGAAGGCTCTGCTGCAAACTCAACACTGAGAAACTATAGGAACCACAAGTAAGTCAGCAGTCTGAGAGCAAAGAACTTAGAACAATAAGGTACTATGAGGTTTTTAAAATATAATGATGTGTGATTATTCAAGACCTGGTAACTGAAGAGAAGGATATTAAATTAAACTTTGGTTCTGCACATTTGTTTAATATGCAAACTGAACATCAAAAATGTCTCAACGTTTAATTAGAGTGTCCCTGGAGGTCAAGGTAATGCCATCTAGACTGGTTAGACACCATGCTTCTAAGATTTTTAGGGCTGAGTGCAATAACCTCCGTTTTGTCTGAGTTTAGAAGCAGAAAATTAGAAGTCATACAGATATTTGTGTGTTTAAGACGTGCATGTAATTTAACTAAGCGTTGTATGTCATCTGGCAAATACGGGAAAACAAACTACTGGGGGGAAAAATTAAAGGCAAAGAAAAGCTGCAGGTTTTGTACAGCAGTGCTGTTGCACTGGTGGACTGCAGCGGTACTGGAGCCGGCTGGGCTGAAAATCAGTGAGCTCATTCTGGCTACGCTGACAGGAGGGCGGGGCTCCCAGCATCATCACCACCGGCCATCACTTCATTGTACGGGGCTGCTGCTGATGCAGAGATCATAGCAAGCGATTGTGTTTCTCTTAGTTAGTAACGGAAGCATGCCATGGATGTGGTTTCTCACCCGTTAGGTCTTCACATTGGATGGGAATCTGTTGTGAGGTAAGGCGATGAAATCTGTCGGCAGTGTGGCTGCTGTAGTTGAGGTTTATCACCGTCTGAACTGGGAGTTCCTGAGACTAGCGGGCCTGTTGGCTTGACTCACACTGATCAGCCCAGAAGCGAAGCGAGAGATATAAACTGGTTTTGTTTTTGTAATCTCACCTCTACTGGAGCGAGGAGAGGCCACCATCGCGTTCTGTGGCATAAAACCCTAAAGCGTGTCTTATTTAGCCGGCAGCAGAGATCTAGCCTGCCTGTCGGAAGTGGCAGAGCTCGGCCTACACCAGCAAACCCTTTAAAGATGACGAGGATGGAGGCTGAGTCCGGGTTTTCCTCGCCATGCAGAGCCGGATGCTCACGCTACATCGAGCATATTTCGAGCTTTTCGTAGCCGTGATTGTTGTGCTGTGTGGATCCCAGGTGGTGTTGCTTGTGCCTCTTGGTAAAGACAGATAAGCATCCTTTTCTATAATTATTAGGCACGTGTGGTTTTCCTGGACGTGAGTTCTGTTTTTTCCCTTCTTCTTCTGCTTGACAGATCGTTACACATTGCTGGCCGTGTCGTAAAAGGAAAGGATGCTGCAGTGATGCTGCAAGAGGATGCTAGTCCACAGTGGGTTGGCAGGGCCTCCAGATTGAGGCTCAGAGTCTGTAGCCTACAACTGCCTCAGGGTGTTACACTGGCCTGATTTAACAGACATCACCCCAGCTGGGAAGGTGTTTGTCACAGTATTGTTTCATGGCCAGGGCAGATGCAGGCTAATAACTGACCACAAGCTAATTGTTTATAGATTTCTTTATAAATGCAAGAGTCATCCAATACAAAACACCAATAGCAAAATGTGGCAAAAGGAGATGGCAAAAACATGAAAAAAATGAGATAAGACCTTTTTTTCTTTGGTTGGGCCTGTGGGCTTATTACTAATAACAATGCTTTATAAATATGTTAAATATGTTGCTGCTGTCAGAACCAGCTGAGCAGAGGTGAGGAAGTTATATATATCCCTGTATCATTAAGTCTAGAATCCTATTTTCAGTTCTTATCCATGCATCATCAAGGGTTACTTTGGGTATAAAGAGGAATATTTCGTCCTGAACAACTACAAAAGCTTGCAGCTTTAACATAACAGTCAATGCTAACGCCATACTATAATTGCAAGCCATCACTACATATTACAGCCATATTGTAGATGTTATAATGTCTGTGGACATTTAGCCAGGTATACAGGAAAAATTACAAATTAAAATTTGCAATAACAACAATGCAAACCACCATCTCTGTTTCCTGTTTCAACAAATGTATTTTTCAATTTGTTAATCTTGCAAGATACACCTTATTTCCTACTCTTATTAATAAACTATTGTTTTAGAATTATATTTACTTTTTCAACTTTAATTTGTTTAAATATGAATTATTAAATAAAAAAATGAAAAGAAAACCAAGTATTTTAAACATGGAGCAGATGTACACCATAGTCATTTAGATCCATTTCCTGCACTATTTCCAGCATTAGCAGAGCTCTGCTTATACACAGGGTTGGTATTTTGACCTCAGGCAAATGGATTAGAAAGCATCTTTTGGTCAGGACTGAAATGTAATCCGAAAACAAGAAGAACAGTTCTTCTTCACTTCAGCCAAAGTGATGGCACGTTGAACCAGGTTATGTCACAGCTCTATACCAGACTGATTAAACTTAGTTTGCCCCTCGATGTTGGGGCAATACTGGCATTGGTCTGGCTAACTTTTACTGAGAGGGTTGCATAACGGGGATTAACTAAATCAAAAATAGTCCTGAAATGCAAGATTGTGTTTGCTGAAAAAAGAACATGACAGAAAGATAAAGCTGAAAGTGACAGTTGGTTGAGCAGTCACAAACACGTGGACATAACAGTGCTAAAGAGATCAGTCTGTGCGTCTAGGTCTGGTATTAGGGAGGAGGTTAGATTTCTGCTTCACATCTGGAACACGAGCTGCCAACAGTGTTCAGTCTGTGTTTACAAAATCATATTACACATATCATATCATATCATATCATATCATATCATATCATATCTGTGAGCCTTAAGTGATAACTGTTAGGTGGATTGTGACATTTATGAATCATATTGAATGACTGAACATACAGTAGGGTATTTATTCCTGTGTGCTTTGAATTTGGCAGAGAATTATGTATACAAGAAACACATTGTACCTGCATGTAGACATGGTCCAGACAGTTGAATTATCAGATTCACAGTTCTCTGAACCAGAAGTTAGAGAGGAGAATGGCCAGACAGAGCTAATAACAAAGGCAACAATAACTCAAATAAACACTTGTTGCAGCCAAGGTATGCAGAAGAGCATTTCTGAACATGTAATACCTTGGACCTTGAAGCAGATGGGTTGTGGGTGCAGAAGACCACACCAGGTGCTGCTTCTGTCAGCTAAGAACAGCAAACTGAGGCTACAACCCATATGTGCTCATCAAAATTGGACCATAGAAGATTGGAAATAAGGTTGCCTGGTCAGATCAGTCTCGATTCCTGCTGCAACTGTCGAATGTTTGAATTTGATGTAAACAAAATAAAAGCATGCATCCATTCATCCTCAACAGTTCAGGTTGCTGCTGGTGGTGTGATGCTAATGGGATATTTTCTGCATGAAACTGTGATCCAATCTGGTACTAGCAATGTGTACCTAAAAAGTGGCTGGCATGTATGTTTTCAGTTTTGCACTACTAGTGTTCATAGTAAAACAGTGTAAAAATCCACATCAATAGGTGGAAGGCTTGGTGGTGGCACATATTAAACAAAAGACTTCCAACCATGTGACTGTTTGGACAGGGTTAGGGAAAAAATGCTTGGCTAGGCTTTGAGAAAATCCCGATATGGGGAAAATGATCCTTTTCAGAATGTTATCCACAGAATTCTCGCATCTGTAAAAAGCTTAAAGCTTACTTAAAAAAAGCTTACTGTAAAAGGTATAGTCCTACAAGTAGTGCTGACGCCTGTTTTCTGAAAAAGATAAGGTGTTTTACATGCCCTTACCACAAGAGTAATTAAACGGATTATTTCAGTCATCTTCAAGCTTGACCACTGTTTACCACATACTGTATAAATAAATGTTTGCAGAAATCAGTAGGGTCCCGTTTTGGAGCAAAGATTGTATGTAATCTCTTTATGATACCGGTACATAAAATCAATGGCAGTGAATTAGCTGCCATTGATTTAAATGCATTTGGCAAAACTGTAACACACACTGCTATATGCAGAATCAGCATGTAGTCCAGGTTAACATTAAATCACTAGCAATTGTTCAAACAAAGCAAAAATGCGTCCTTGTGACCATCAATCATTTCTGTGTTTTAACTCTATTTCCAGTCACACTGAAGCTGCGGCTCGTATTTCTAATGCTCCCTCTGATAGTCTGCTGGAAAATCCAGCGCTAACAACCAAATTTAATGTCTGAGGAGTCAAAAGTGGGTCATAGTGCCAGTGTGCTTCGTGTCGTAGTATTTAATGCACACAAGCTCACATTGATACACCAACACCATGATACATGCACATACACTCATTCAGAGTGCAAAGAGGAAATCAGTTCTTTTTCATTCTTAGCTATTTTTTTCATATTAAAAAAATCAGTTACTGTGAGCATGGATGGTTTTAGTTAAGACTTACCAATCATATCTCCCAGTCATCACAGTACTATTACTACAAAACGTGTTCCACTTACATGGTTTTGTTTTTAGTGTGTTTGACCAGTGGTTGTTGAAGCCTAACTTAGGGACATTTTATGATGTGAATGATGCCATCACACTTTAAAACTCCCAGGTCATTGTCCAGCTGTGCAGTTCCTTAGAGCTTTTTCACATTTTAGCTCTCTGTTCTGTGTATTCTAATGTATTTTGTAGTGTATTGACTTCATGGCTTAGTCGTGACACTCTAATGAACTCTGTTTGAAGCTTCTGACCCATCATTAAAAAGCTTAGATAAGGATGTTGTTCTGCTTGCTCAGCAACAAATTGCATTAACTTTTAGATCCCCATATTGTTTCTCAGTATTGGATTAGAAATTGGACAGTTACAATATTATTATTTTAGGTGGTCTAAAATCTGCCTCGAAATGAATACCAGAAGTCTTTAAGATGTCACATTTACCATACAGCTTCAAAAGGCAGTAGCAGTCACTCAGTACAGCTGTGACTTTTTCCTGTTTTACATGCATTTCTTAGTGAAGCTTCAATCTTACCTGGAACTTGTTTAGGACCGAATAGCCGACAAAAATATCAACTAACTCGAAACCATAGTTGAGCATTTGGACACTAGAGATGTAGATTTTTTTCTCTCTCAGGAATTGATGAAAATTATACCAAAAGGAAAGTGGATTTTGGGCTAATATTTATTAATGGCATTCTGGCACCTTCAGTTAAAGAGCAACTAAACCTGATAGGGGGATTTATGCATAATACAGTAAAAGGAGTTTTTCTTCAGTGAGGTAATAAAAAAATAAAAAATAAAAAAGCAAATATCACCAAACACAAAAACATGTTTTAATGTAGCTTGCCACAGCGTGTCTGCTAGGTAGACGTACAGTCGGTTTATTTTTCAGGGAGTGGAAAAAGAAATCCATTACATTACAACATCTGTGACATTTTCAGGGATGGAGAAAGATGTAAGAAAGTGAGGAAAGGCGAGAAAGATAAGAGATTTTTCAAAGGTAGAAACTGCAAGGACATTTGAAAAACTGGAATTTTAAAGCTTCTTGTAATGTCCTAATTGATTCTGTAGTGTTTGGATCGAAACATAATGTTGCAAATTTCTTTTTTTTATACTGTGAAAGTCATTCCAAACAAAGTGAAGTATAAGAACTTTGTGTTTTTCAGAGGGTGTCGTTTAGAGCAGGCTGAAGTCACTAGCTTGAAAGACTGCGGTGAAGTTTCCAGTAATGCACCACTATATGCTGGATGCAGAGTGGCTGTGGTGTTCATGTTCAGTGTTAGGTTACATCTAGGATTGCAGACA